GCTTCCTTAACGAAATTAAAGTCGCTTTTGAATGTGGAAAAATGTCTAATATTACACCTAGTGAAATACCGGATCTTCTAGGGCCACATTGTATATTTAATCATCTCTGTACAGAATTAGTAGTATTAGAAGTATTATTTTTCCTGTGTTGAGTGGCCCAAGTATCTCATCTTATGGATTCCCTCATGGAAAAGTGTTTTTTCGACTACAGGGGTCTACGAACTTTGACTGAGTATCAATTTCGCTGGTCGTTGTGTGCCTATTGTTGGTTGCCTTTGTTAGTGTTATGTAGTTTCAATTTTTGCAATATGTATTTACATGCGTGCTTTATTGCCTTTTAACTGGTCTCGTCGTTTACTATACTTGCGTCTCTGTCCCTGGCGTGTTTTTATGCACCTAATTAGTGGAAGTGATTCTGAGTGCTTTTTTACGTTTCCGTTTCTGCCTTTCTCCACATTGTAAGGTGCATCTTAGTGCTCAGTCTTTCACCTGCAATGCTATATGTGAAATATAGTGGTGAATACCAGCTAAAATATAATTACTGACCAAAAAATCCTTCGTTGGATCCTGCGAAATTATGATTTTTGTAGTGACGGTTTTCTTCAAAATGACAGTTTAACAGTGATGATAGCCTGGTGACCTAAACTGTGATTGTCATTGTCTGTTGACTACGCTGGAAGTTACACTAGAGGCATTAATATTAATATTATCACTACTTACCGACTGTTGATGTCTATCTGACGGCACCCTTTTCATCCGAAGTGAGAATTTCCTTATCGACGCATCTGTCGTCAAATTCCACAACCTAAGTGTGACTCATGCAAGAAATTCTTATCGTGTGATACGGGGATTAAATGCAAAGGATTTGGTTGCAATACCTACGTTCACCCTAAGTGCGCCCTTCGCTCGAGTGTTGGTGCGGGTGACTTCCTCTGTCTCCATTGCTTGGAACTACAATCTGCGGCGTCACCCTCACCCTTTCAGGGCCTTCGCAAGTCAGCTGCTCCATCGTCCTTGATGTCCCGGGTTCTAATCACCTCTCAGGAATCGGCCGGTATCCCTATGCCAGAATCGTCCTTCTTCCATGCGAAGGTTCTATCCATGGCAGAGGTCCTTCGTAATGTTCGGACCAAGCTGGATGATCTCAGTGATCTGTCCGTCATAAAAGACCTGACCTGACCACTACTACTCAGAATATTTCTTCAACTGTCAACCAGCTCTCTCGTAACATGGCGGCCATTAACACAAGATGTCATGCCCTTGAAACTTCCAATACTGCCTTAGGTGCGCGGTGTCAGACTCTGTAAGAAACCAATGGTTTATTTAGTCCCCTACTGGATGACATGGGGCGACAACTCTCGGAACCTCCGACGCATGTCGAAGGTGCATATTTTTTTCTTGCCCGGGTTGAGCAGCTTACGCAACTGCAGCTCTCCATCGAAATTATCATCTCTGGACTGTCTGTCGTAACGGGCATTCCTGTCAGGAATCTAATTGCCAAACTCGGCGCTGTCTTACAAGTGTAGATCGGTCCGACTGATGTACTCAACGCTTTTCGTTTCGCGCCTAAGCCTGATGCTGTGCCTTCTGGTCGGATTGACCAAAAACACAAGAAGTCTCTGCTGTTGGCCTCTGATGTCCTGCCTTCACTGCCCAGTACGAAGGTCTACGTCAACGAGCGTCTCTCTGCCTCCATGCTTAAGCTTCTGGCTGAAGCACGGGCGATGGTCAAATCTCTACGCGGTGCTCGGGTCTGGATTTGCCATGGATCAATCTTTGGACGGAAGGATGATTCTTCTGCTACCGTCAAGATACTACGTCATGATGACCTTGCCAGGATCTTTACATGACTCGCAGCGTCGCCTCCTCCTGCCTCATAACTCGATTCTGTGTGCAACCTAAAGATATGCCATGTAAATGCTCAAGCGCTCTCTGCTGATATTGCCGAGTTTCAGCACTTCTTTTTTTTTGAACTTTTTTCACATCATCGCTGTCTCAGAGTCGTGGTTAAAACCACATATCTCCGACCATACTGTCTGTTTGGCCGACTACACACTCTTTAGGTGCGACAGGATTGGGCGACAAGGTGGTGGTGTTGCTGCCTACGTCCACTCTTCAATCTATGCGGCCATTGCGGCGGCATCAGTTAGTGCCAACCTCTCCCACCCAGAATACATGTTCTTAGATGTGGGTGTTCCCGGTGAGCCGCGTACCTTAATTGCGGTGGTCTATCGTTTTCCGCACGCTGGTTACTTCTCGGATCTTGAGGCCACTTTCTCGCGTCTCCCACCAACCTATAAAAGTATTACCATTTTCGGGTATTTCAATGCTCATTTTCTGACGTCTACCTTTGACAGCTCGCAGATCAAATCATTTATCACCAGCAATGATCTGCACCTTGTTCCTTTCTCCGCCACCCATCACATTCGCGATGCGCACATATGGTTTGACCTCTGCATGGTTGATCATTTCTTGAAAGTCACTGCATCTGATAAGCGTCCTGTTCCATTCTTATCTGCCCATGACTTAATATGGATCAATTGTTAATTTCGGATTACCAAGGCCGCTGTTAAAATTGTTATGAACCGTGATTTCCGGGCATTTAATCTGAAGGCGTTCTTAAATTGTCTTGAGAATTCCGACTGGCTGACGTTCCTCGCGGAACCGACAGTAACTGATCAAGCCACCTCCCTTGAATATATTCTCACTGGTGTCTTGAACGAGTTCGCACCCGTCCGATCCTTCAGCCCGCGCCGTAAGCCAGTTCCTTGAATGTCTGATGAGATCCGACACTCCATTGCTCATCATAATAAGCTCCATAAACGGTATATACGCTCTCGGTCCAGCGATGACTTTAACCTATTTCGTGCGCTCCGGAACAAAACCCAGGCTCTCATTAAAGGTGAAAGAAGTTCTTATTTTAGATCTGCTCTCTTCTCTGCCACTAATTCCGGTACCGTTCGGAAGCAATTCCGGCGCCTACGTCTCATTGAATCTGCTACATACTCACCGTGTGTTACCATGTCGCTGGACTCCCTGAACCAGTCCTTTCCAGACTCCTATCATACTCACCCAGGCGACATAGATCCTTATCACGTCTCCTTCACGTTTGATGGGTTCCAGGATAACTTTTTTTAAATACGTTGAACCGCAGGATCTTAACCTGGCCTTGAAGAGAAATAGATCCCGTGCAATGGACCCTCATCGGCTTCCTCTTAACCAGATACTCCTGAGTCTTGATGTTGGGTCTGTTGAACCTTATTAACCACTCACTTGACTCTTCCATGTTTCCTGATAGCTGAAAACGATCCTGAATTCGGCCCATACCAAAGGGTCGTGTATGTCCTGAGCGTCCATCTGATAGGCGGTCTATTTCACTCCTTTGCGCTATGTTGAAGCCACTTGAGCGAATTATCTACAAGCAAATGGTTGAGTTTCTTGGGCATAGAAGTGGATTTGAACCACGTCAGTCTGCGTTTCGAGTGGTCATAGCACTCAGACGGCCTTGATACGGGTCACTGACAACATTAGATTTGCTGCAGATGTACGAATGGTCACTATCTTGGTCCTTTTTGATAAGGTAAGTTGTTTCTGTTACCGTAATAGCCTGTTCATACGTCTCTTGTTATCTTTAAGTTTACTTTAAGTTCTTTACCTTTACTACTTGCTCTTCTTTTAGTTATCCTTACTTTTACTTATATTTATTTTGTACCTCTTCGTCGTCACTTTCTGTATTCCGGTTTACGGGGTCTAAACCCCAAATCAAATAAATTGAATTATCTATCAATCTTTATCTATCTAATGGAGCCGGACATGCCATGGTATACAATATTTTCTGCTGGGCATTGTGTGTTTCGTGTTGGTTTGGCTTTCACGCACAGCAAATGATTGAACTGTACATGGTGGGATACACAGTATTCTTATCATTGACATAGCATAATTGAACTACAAATAATAATACATGATTGTGTGATAAAAATGACGCGACGATAATAGTATTATATAATTGTAATAAATTTATCGATATATAATTTTGTTTAAATTCAAGTTGATGTGTACTTCGAAAATGAAGTACATATCAGTATGGCCGTGCTAGAGTATCGATTAGTTTAGAAACATTCAAGATCAACCGAAGATAAACAGTGTACAAAAAGCGCATTTATGACGGTTTTGTCATTGGTCAGTGGTGGAGTAGGGCTGGTTTTGAAAAAAGAACAGATGAAAGCAACGGGGGACATTCAAGTAGAAAGTCTTGGACGTGAAGGAAATCAGTTTACTGACATGGTGTCTACCCATCACGGACATATGGATAACGATAGTTGTCTTCTACATTGTACAATACGAATTGTAATAACTGTATTACATTTATTAACCAAGTTTTTTTTGGTGTCATTTATTATAAAATAAATGTAGTTTACTGAATGATCGTCTTTGAAGTATCTAATGATCCTTAAACTGGTCCCCTGTATGTGTATTACTACACATAATTCACTTTACTTAATTCTGTGGAATATGAAATTTTAGCATAACGTTGTTCTTTTCTCTTTTTTATTTTTCTTATATCTAACACATCCCACATGACTTCAATGTCGCTCAAGGGGTTAAAATAATTGCAGAGACTACCTATACTTATTACACAATTTTTATGATAAAACTGATGAAATATTGTAAACGTAATATCAGTTTCTTGTGATATCTTCATAGCTTGTATAAAGTATTTTTCTTAAATATCGGGAAATGAGTAAGAAGGTTTTGGGGTAAAGGAATGAGACAGATTGGACAGGAATGTACGAATAGAATATTTTTGTATCACTATTATTACTTGTTCAGGTTCAAAAAGAATTTTTATTGCAGAATTATTTAAAATATTTGTACATATACGAATATAAAAGGGTGAATGGCATAAATAAGTGCATCATACATCAATCACGTAATGAAATTACAAGAAATAATTACCATAGGTCAGAAATTTAATATTGACCAATTCTTTTAAATGCACGTATTTGTAATTGTAATTGTATTTATAAACACCTATATAAAATTACATAATTCATAAACGGAACAGGCGAGAGCGAGGCGAACATTAAAGAAAACAAAAAAGACGTAACACTGCATCACAATTGCACAGTGACTATTTTTATCAGTACAGTTTATGATAACCGAACAACTAATAAGCAATAAATGTTTCATAATTATGCTTTATATCTTGAATGCGACCATTGTAGGCATTAATGGACATCAAAAGTCAAATTTATTGACAATTTATTATGAGTCAATTAACACGTCCAGAGTTACTGTAAATATGTGAAAATAATATACATCTATCTACAAACAACGAATGTACTTTAACCATCTGTAAGTTCATTATGCGGATTGCAAATCTACTAGTCTTTTACACGATGGTGTTTCAATGTTCCGAGCACGTTGATATAAGTCTTGGTCACCGAAGGTTCTTGCTTTCCATAACATTGAATCCTCTATAAATGTTAAAATTATAAGTATTATAAAACACTAATGTCTAGCATAAAATTGTGTTCCAACATTTATATTTTAACATAGTTAAAACTAAGCCGACTCTCCTTATTTCTAACAATATAATCATAGCATTCAAATGAATAATGTAACAATTGAATAAAATAAACATAGCCAGTAACGTCAATCAATTATTGTAGTTAACAGATTCCACACATAAGTGTGAAAAGGGCTCAACATGCTTTTTTACGTGTAACGAGTGCATTTGCGTTTGTATTCGATTATTAAGAACTATGACATTATCTGAAGATGGTTTTGTACATTTAATTTCCATTAATTTCTATGGTAGAACCCCGTATACAGATTGTCTTGGAGCGAATTTTCCATCGAAATGTGAATTATGGCTGGAGGTGCTCTGAGTACGTCTCACAAAATGGGTGTCGAAATTCGTAATAGTTTTTAAATGGAAATTATTTAAGATACACCAATCAGAATGAAGCATTTCTACCGATCATGGCTATATGGTGAGAGATATAGTCGCGGAATACTAAATATAGCTGCATTAGGACGTCATATGCAACACATGCATCGCGTAATTAATAACTGTTTCACGATCCAAGTATCAAGCACATTTATTGAAAGACTACAGATCACGGTCTTACAAGTCTTGCAACTTCGGTAGTGGGGGTAGTTTTCTAAAAGAAGCATTGTCCGTTTCCCTCGTAACAACAAGAAGCATTATGGTCGAACGACTTTATTGCTCTCTCTCGCACAGCCAGCTGTAGGATTAATGGCATTAAATTGTTGATCGCTGTAACTTAACCTAAGTGAACTGATCTGTTAACACAGCATAATAATAAAAGATCTGAAAATTATGAGATGCAGCCAAAATTGATGTTTTTTAGACCAAAATATAATAAAATTAACGTTGATTCAGAACCCAAGCAAACCCGAAGTTTCGTAATTCCCAAGGAGATGTGATTAACATGAACGTTTCTTGCAATGAATATATCAGTAGCTATTCTAGATTAAGTGGTTTATAACCCCATCGAAGGCATTGACGCCGTATGGCGTCACGAATTGTTGAGTCTTTGTGCGCCACATCATTTATTTAGTCAATGGAATTGCATAAAAATTGGCATCCCAAGGCTTTTCGCAATGCTCAACATGATTCCAAGGTCAAAATTCAAACATTCAAAATGGCGGACCCAATAAGGTGGTCCGAAATGCAAAAAGTTGCTTGAATTGAATAAAACTCGGTACTCAGTAGTTTTTGAAAACACTGATTACAAATTTGAACTAAAAATTCACAAATCTTCCAAGTCATCTCGTTTTTAAATTTTGATCCGCCATTTTGAACTTTTGAATTTCTATAGTAGATTCGTAATTAACAACCTCAAAAACCTCCGAATAACGTTTCTCGTCAAGGTTCCAAAATTGTGGCTACGAAGTGAAATGAGCCGTGCAACTCGAACACTGAAAAAGAACTCATCGCTGAATTCGAGCAAGTTGAAGACCTATACAGGGTGTTCCGAAATTACCTGACCAACGGGGTGTAGCGGTGTTCGGGAGACATCACTGATTACGAACATGACATTCCTTTTCTCCGGAAGGTCATAGTTTTTAAATAGGAGCAGGTCAAAGTTGACCAATCAGAGGGAGGCGTCAAGAGAAGCGTTCAGAATATCTATTCTCAGTGAGTGACATCCAATAGGCATGTCTTCGGCTGACGTCATCATGCCTGAAGCCACCCAGAAACAAAAGCGAGGCAAGAAAACTCCGAGTTCGTAAGTGCCTACGTTTCTCTTGACGCCTCTCTCTAATTGGTCAACTTTGACCTGCTCCTATTTAAAAATTATGACCTTCCGAAGAAAAGGAAGGTCATTTTCGTGATCAGTGATGTCTTCCGAACACCGCCATACCCCGTTGATCAGGTAATTTTGGAACACCCTGTATATAACATCGTGCTATAGATATGGCCATTCCGGCGTTCTGCCTTAGCTTCACGCGACAGCTTCATGCGAAACGCGCGATTCATAAGTGTTTGAAGACACGCATTCATCAAGTACATACATCCGTTACACATTAAAGAAGGCATCAAGTTATCTTATAGAGATATGTGAGTTTACTCAGATTCCATGACTTTAGATCTCCATATATCTTAACCCTTGAATCTCTGAGACTGTGGCGATTGAAACATTTGTTCTGAATTGTAAAAATTTCAATATATCTCAGAACGGAGCAATTCGACAGAGGACACTATTCTGTAAGAAACGTGCAGGGTCCTTTGAGATATGAAGTAGTGTGTATTGATATAGATGTATGTCGAAGCAAGATAAATATATACTGAAAACTCTATGATCAAGATAGAACGACTGGTCAATCAGTTCCTATAACATGTTATAATAATATTCTTATAATATTTCGCTGAAATTCGATTAATCGGTGAAGTTACAACAAATTTAACGTTGCGCTTCACAGGTAGAAATCGAAGCAGCTGGAACATGTCGAGCTCTTCGAGATTACACAAACAATATGAACAATGAAACGACTGAGATATTTATGGTTAAAGTAAGAATAATGTATAAAGGGAAGCATATGGTCTGTGACGTGATTTTTCCCGATGCCCGATGCCCTGGAGAAGCGGCCGTGGAGGATCTCCAAAAGTTACGTACCGATTCGCTAAGAAACGCTCTCGATTTGGTTTAAAGGGACGACTCTAGGGAAATGGAAGAGTTATCGGCTATAAAGATCTCGACCAATCAGAATAATTAGTCCTTGAATTTGGCTATTGTCAAAGTGGTCTGTCTCGGGGGATTTCGCGCATTGCACCTAAGCATCTTCACTGCTGGTCTAAGAAATACCCAAATATCTGCATATTTGACTAATAAAACATGCAACGAAAGTTTTTATTTAATTTTAAAAACTATAGCAACAATAGATATAGTCACTGAACAGCAAACAAAAATTATTTCCTATTATCGAGATAACCAGCGACTGATAAGATCGGAGTGACTCAGCGAGGAAAAAACGAAAGATGCCCGAATTGTTAGGTGGAATTTGAGTCAATGAAAGCACAAATGAGATCCACGAGAAAAGAGAGGGTATACTATATGGCCCAGGAATAATAATTTAGTCAGCAAAGACTGTAAATATAAAAAATCCTATATAGTTTATGTACCTTAGACTTTAAACGAATTTTTCTCGAAACGACATTTTTCATTTTAGTTGGTGTAAAATTGAAAACAATAATGGATCCGATTGGCTTACAATTTTATACACATACGAAGTAAAATGTTTTTTTCATGACATCTATCTTTAAAATCTGTGATTTGAGATAAATATTTGTTTAGCGCTCAAAAAGCAATTTTTAGTTAAATACCGATATCTTTTTTCAAACCGCTATCATTTTGTTAAAACGTTAACTTCTTTGTCTGAATATAAGTAGATGCCACAGCGACAAATATGAGTACAATAATCCGTTTTGGTGTGTGTGCGAAAGAAAGGGACGGAGTGGAATTTAGACAGAAGAGAGGGGTGTGAGTGTATGGAGGAAAGGAAGAAAAAGGTGGAGAGCAGATGCGAAGTATTTAGGGCTAGGGCTGCGAGTAGACACAGGAAGGTAAGAAAGGTAAAAGTAGAACGAGTCTCCGAACACTTTATTGAATCTATTTTATTGAAGATTATTTTAACGAATGCACATTTGACCGAATGGACATTTGATCGAAGAGAAAAATTTTAGTTCGAAAGGGACATTTGAATGAAAATTGCATAATTCAGTTATTAGGTTTGGTTAGGTTATGAGATGGTATTTTAGTTATAATAATCGTTAGCGAGCGAGCGAAGCGAGCGAGTTCGACTCAACGATCTTGTAATGCTGTGCTGGATTGGTCTAAGTCTAGGTTAGGTTAAGTGAGGTTAGGACAGGTCAAGTTAGGTCAGAACTCCATTCCTTTGATCGGTTAGAAAACATAGTATGATATTGATCAGTTATGTAATACGTTGTCTCTCGTAATATCCTGTAGACTAAATATTCAGGATATTATGGAATGCGATTTTCAGAGAAACAAGCTGCAAGTTGAAACTTGCAATTTGCTTCCTCCGAATCGTAAGTAATGTACGAAGTCCTTATATGAGGAAGCATTTTCATTTTTTTTTTAATCTTTGGTTTCCTCATACATGAATCTTCATCTACTACCCACGATTCGGAGAAAGCAAATTGCAAGTTTCAACTTGCAGCTTGTTAACCGTGAGTCCCCATGCCTTTCACAACTTGGGGTGCTTCATACTGTAGAGAACGCATGTAAGGATAAATTTCTTGCATGATCTCTTCGGACCTAATATTTTTGAATTGGCTGAAATTCAAAAACTTGATTATATGTATAATCAGATCCGTTTTACCGATCTCCGCCAAATTTAAGACATATCACGGCTAAATGATACTCTATACTTTTCGAAAATGAGAGCTCAATCTGTCAGAGTTGACGGGAGTTATATTGATAAATTTAATTTTTCGAAAAATTCAAAATATCATAAAATCAAATCTTCTCGATGGATTCGGCACAAATGCAATACCAACTAACCTTGGATAGTGGCTGAAATTCAAAAACTTGATTATATGTATAATCAGATCCGTTTTACCGATCTCCGCCAAATTTAAGACATATCACGGCTAAATGATACTCTATACTTTTCGAAAATGAGAGCTCAATCTGTCAGAGTTGACGGGAGTTATATTGATAAATTTAATTTTTCGAAAAATTCAAAATATCATAAAATCAAATCTTCTCGATGGATTCGGCACAAATGCAATACCAACTAACCTTGGATAGAAATCTCTTTCTCAAGAACTATTTAGACGATTATCACAAAATTTGCGATCGCTAGAGTGATAACGTCCTTTCTTTGGGAATTTAAAAACGACATAAAATCCGAGCCGCAGCATGAACCATGACGAAAATTAGAATCAATGAAGGGATTATAGAGCAGCATAGGCCTGCAAAAT